GGGGGGGGGGGGTTGCCTTGGCCAACTGAAATGATTTCATTTCAGCCTATTTAAGGCAGGGACTATTCATCCTTTCCATGTTATGCTTATTGTGTTGTTTGATGTCTTAGCATATAATAGACTGAAATTGTGAAGAATTGGCCTAAAGTATTAATTTTGAGTATTTATGTAATTGCTCTGTAATTTAAATAGGTGCTTTATTGATTGATTCCTGTAATTATTTCATTTAGGTTTTAAATTAAAAATTAATAATAGTCTGACAGTTTCTTAATTACATGTGTCAAGATTATTTTGAAAGAGGAAAATGCTATGTTTTAAAGTAGTGAAATAACCTAAAAATCTCTTCATTTTTTTCTAAAGCATAATAGTATTTCAGTTGTGGGGATATGTTAAGGCAGTGGTGATTGGTCTTAATGTAAACTGTGTGAAGTACCGAAATAATTTGTTTATATTAGGAAATATTGGTCTTAACAACCTGGTACACAAACACTTTGGCCAGTTAGACTATAGTCATACCTAAAACAAACATGAAATAATATATAAATTAGTTGTAACAGCATACTTACAGAGAGAAGAGAATTTATATTATACTAAAAGCTATTTAATTAAAAACTCCCTGCCTAAGGGGAGATCCTTTCAGGGTATGTAATTCTTAAAGTCAGCCTAGGGAAGCTTTGGCTTAAGATGCCTTAATGAGTCGAATAAATGTGAGAGGTGTCTTGTGAAACACTTTAAAAGGTATAGGTTATATTATTATTAATAGGTTAGTAGGTCCAACTTGGATACCTGCTAATTCCTTGTACCTTTAACGTGTTTGTATTCCTTGATGAACTCTGGTATAAACACATTTTATTGGATGTCTGGTTTGCAGAGAACTACACACAGACATGAGAAAATAAGTACTGATGAAAAATGGCTCTGTTGAGTTATTTCATTACTTATTTAATGAAAGAGTTATTAATTTATCAATTTGATGCCCAAGCCTAAAAGTTGAACTTTCCTTTGTTTCTAGACCAGTTTTCTTAATCATCTGCATGCTGTAAGAGTTTCAGACTTCTGTGCTTAGCCAGTTAGTGGTCCTTTCTTCTCTGTAAGGTATCCTACTCACTAAGATTCTCCTTTCCCCCTTTTTTGAGGATAGGGTTTGGGAGTTTATGAAAGGAAACAATTTAGTGATCATTGTTCCATGCACTCACTTATATGGATAGTAATGTTCTAGGAAGAAACAGTCTTGAAGGAAAAGTGAATCAATGAGTCATGAAATCCTCAAGAAAACCTTAGTAATGGAATGTTAATGCTTTTAGACTATAGTAGATTATCTTAAAAGTCAGATTTTTCTTCTTTATGCAACTGTCGTAAATCCCCAGCTAAAGAATTCTTTGAAGGAGGTTTTAGTTTTGCTGGCACTTATATTCTATAGTCAATCTGATTCGTTTTGGAAGAGTCAAAAATTTTTCTGCCGAGTTATATACAAGAAGTAATTAAAATGCCGAAATGATATAGAGGAAATGTGTCTGTATTTAATTTATTAAGCAAAAGATTCCCTTCAGGTTGTCTTTTAATTAAAGTCGAGTAGAAGTTGCTGCCCTTCACTTCATGTTGTCATTTTTCTAGATGAAAATTGATTTGTTCTAGTTTCAAAGCAAAGAGACGGAGACAGAATAAACAACAACAGGGCAGGGGCATTGCTGCAAACTTTTTCAAGTACTTTCAGTGTATTTTTCATCTTTACTCTTATTTGATGGGCCTGTGAAATAGAGCTGTAGACCGGTGAAGACTTTAAATGAAATTTCACACTTTGATGATTTTTTAAAAAACTTTGATATATTGACAGCAAAAGAGCTGCAAGCTTTTATATAACTTGAGCAGTAACGCCAAGCAGCAGTCAAGTGTCTCTATGCATTTGTGTTTAACTGCAGAAGAAAAACATGTCCATGGGCAGCAGAGGTTCTTATCAAACCCCTAATCCCAGATCCCAGCAAACCTTAAGGGCATCCCTCAGATCTTGCTGAAATCACTGTAGACTCTCACAGTTTGCAGATTAAATATGCTATGTGTTCCTGGCTCCAACAACAGTTTTATGAGCTCACTAAGCTTCCTGTTTTAAGATCCGTTTCTTAAGTTTTTAGGAGCTGCTAAAGGCAATGCTGTCTGGAGTAAGTGGTGCTTGTTAATTTAGAGACACTTGAAATATTTCATTCTTTCTTTAAAAATTGCTGAAATTATTATTTTTAAATTGAAGGGCTAGTTACACTGGGATGAGGGAGGGGAGCTGTTTGAAAGAAATTAGATGTTAAATATATTTGTAAGTGCATTTCATTGCAAATGTTACATGGGGCTGCAGTTGTCTTAAGGTGCTTTACCTTTTCCTAGCCCCTTAAAATTAGCCTTTTTCCACTTATAATTATGAACGCACCATATTTTAGTGCCACATTTTTTTGCTACTCATAATCACTTTTAATTATTATTTTTTAATGTGAAAGTATTTTTGTTCTGTGTGTGTATATTTCAGCGGGACAAAATGTTTCAGAAAATCTATGGCTCTCTAAAGAAA